CCCCACCCCCATACTTAAACTGGCGCACATCTGAATTGTGTCAGTTTTTTAGTTTCTTGTATTTTGTTTATTGTCTTCAAAAATACTCTACAATTAAATGAAGATTATACCACTTCTTGGACTTGTATCTATAAAATATGAAGAGTAGTTTTGGTCACATAGCGTTACGTTCCCTTGTTTGCGATTCAACTTTTGTTTAAAGTCATCTCGAAAATCGAATGACGCACTTTATTTTTTTTATAATATTTCTCATTCATCGAGAATAAAGGTGATCGGATGATCGATCAATTTACACTAAAATGATAAGCAAAAATATAAAACAGAATCAATTGTTTTCGTGTTATTGAACTTTCAGTTTATATTATATAAAAACTGTAATATTACAGGTAGATGTGTTGACAGTATAACTTCTAAAACGACACACAACTGTAAAAAAAACACAACCTTTTTACATTTACAAGATGATTTTTTTTCAAGATTTCAAGATTTTTTTATTGACACTCAGACACATTATATGTGTTACATGAGGAAATAAAGTTGCATATAATTCCCAAGTTATTTAACTATTTATACAGTTATACATATGCATCATTCACAAAAGAGGAGCCATTTTGGTTAGGAAAATAGATAAACCTGTCAGAACTCGTTGATTGCATAATGATAAAAGACCTTTAAACTTGTAAATATTTGGGTTTGTACAATAATAACGAGGAATACATTTGTTACGTAAGGTGGATATAGTTATATTATTGCATTCAGATAGATAATGAAATTCCCTGACGTACGCCAATATTTATTTTAGTTTAAAACTAATTTATTAAATTAACGGAGTATAGCCAAGTTATAAAAGTCTTGGTTTTGTGTCATTGCTTTGTAGACTAACATGATGTGTTTATGTATCACAGTTTATAAATTACGAACATAAACCTGGGCTCTAAACCATTAAAACATATCTGGAGCTTTAAACCTTTATGTAACGTTATGACAACCGTTCCCTCCAACTAACTATTCGCACACCGTGACATGCGCTCATCATACGTACATTAATAATATGTTTTGTATGTAAGTGTTATGGCTTTTGAGTGTTAACTTGGTGTTTACTTAAATTTTGACATTTTATTGGTCGGTAATAAAAAGTTTTAAAATCGTAAAAATATTAACATGTTTGATATTTAACCTGAAGTTTAGGAAATTGTCATTTTTTGTGTGCCATAAATGTACTTAATTTATAAGCATACATGTGTGTCTGTCAGCTATGTTTACGATATCATTGTCCTGTTGTGCATCTTAGGAAAAAACACGTGCAAATTCAGGTGAGATTTATACATAGTCTGAATGTCATTAACAAGAAGTCGTCGCAACATAGGGTTTAAACGTCCGACATTTGTATCCACCTTACATAAATGTCAATTGCCGTAAATGTATATTTTTTGTGTACCGTAAACATTGCGAATCGTGTTATATTGTCGAATAATTACTTGGAACAGGTAAATCTACAGGTAGATAAGTTGTAATTTCTGTAACTGAATGAGTTTCTTACCTAGTACAGGTAGGTCTGCTATATAGTTTGTAACAGGTACAGTTACCCACCTGATACAGGTAGATAAGTTGTAGTGTCTGATACAGGTACAGTATACAGGTAGGTCTGTTATACTATGTGTAACTAGATCAATAACTTACCTGGTACAGGTAGGTCTGTTATACTGTCTGTAACTAGATCAATAACTTACCTGGTACAGTTAGGTCTGTTATACTGTCTTTAACTAGATCAATTACTTGCCTGATACAGGTAGGTCTGCTATACTGTCTGTCATTAGATCAATTACTTGCCTGATACAGGTAGGTCTGTTATACTGTCTGTCATTAGATCAATTACTTACCTGATACAGGTAGGGCTGTTATACTGTCTGTAATTAGATCAATTACTTGCCTGATACAGGTAGGTCTGTTATACTGTCTGTAACTAGATCAATTACTTACCTGATACAGGTAGGTCTGTTATACTGTCTGCGATTAGATCAATTACTTACCTGGTGCAGGTAGATCTGTTATACTGTCTGTAATTAGATCAACTACTTACCTGATACAGGTAGGTATGTTATACTGTCTGTAATTAGATCAATTACTTACCTGGTGCAGGTAGATCTGTTATACTGTCTGTAATTAGATCAACTACTTACCTGATACAGGTAGGTATGTTATACTGTCTGTAATTAGATCAATTACTTACCTGGTGCAGGTAGGTCTGTTATACTGTCTGTAACTAGATCAATTACTTACCTGATACAGGTAGGTCTGTTATACTGTCTGTAATTAGATCAATTACTTGCCTGATACAGGTAGGTCTGTTATACTGTCTGTAACTTGTAGGTCAATTACTTACCTAATACATGTAGGTCTGTTAGATTGTCTCTTACTAGTACACTAACTTACCTGGTATATGTAGATACGCGTATGTTGGGTGGTCGGGTGGTGCAGTGGATAGCGCACTTGCCTTTCACCAAGGTGGACGGGGTTCGATTCCCCGATCGGACGTGAAAACGTATGGGGTCACCTGTGGGTTTCCTCCGGGTACACCGGTAAACTCCCACACTAAGACCCCCTGCGCGCTAGCATCCGGGCTAACAAGAGTGATTAAAATAAGTTGACATAACGTTACTTTTACACTAACTAAGCTGGTACAGGTAGACCTTATTACACCTACTTCTATCGTACCACCTTTGTAAATCTGGTGAATAATTGTAAGGAAGAGACAGAGTTCCACAGAGATAATCTGCTTTAAGTGTCGATGTGTATTTGTGGTTTTGGCTCCTTTGACAGAGTTATCGCTGAGAAGGCAGAACCTGAGACCGGGGTGTAAGTCCGAGTTTATAACTGTACTCATGTTTGTTTTACACACATTTTATTCACTTGTATTTTATTTTTGAAATTTAATGTGTTTTACCCATTATTAAAAAACACATATATACACTTTTAAACTTACCACATTTTTTTATTTTACCTCGTGTAACTTTCTGTGAAACTTACCGTTGCTACCCATGACGTGAGGACACTTGCCCACGTGATACTAACAATAACCTTCCTATACCATACACTCTTCCTGTCTGCACGATCTATCATATATATCCTATATTTTATTAACAGTACTCTTAACTAGTTTTCTGAGTTTTATTCATGACACTGTTGAATAATACAAACCCATTGATCGACAATTATATTTACTTTTGATTGTAATTTGAATTATGCATGCACGTTTGCTTGTATAACAAAACGAGAGAGAGAAAGAAGTCGTGACTCGTGATTTACTGTAGTCATTAAAATTAATCGTAATTACCTAACAGTTATATCAGATGTACCTTACAGGTCGCTTATTATATCAATATTATGTATTTGTACGTCACAGACTACGTGTATAATATACTTATCCCGACCAAAACTGAAGACATTGAAAAATTGGAAGCGACAAGCAAATATGTATCTATTATTCTATCTTATTTTTAAATCATAATGTCGTCTCAACTTGCATCACGCGTACATTAATCTAAATATATCGTGAAACAAGAGAGATAACTCTTGTTCAATTCTGGCGGGATGCGGACCCCCCAATTGAAGTAGAATGGTTGTGATGTCTTGGCCAATAGTTGGTATTATTAATTCAATCAAGACGCCAATCCAAGGAACGAACTAGAGTTTCAAAAATGCACGAGAGAGGTATTTCCAAATGGCGAAAATGTGCAAAAACATGTGTTGAATAGACATTGACTGGAATACTCGGGAGCCTCCAATGACTCCGCCTGCTATCGGTCAGGAGAATGAGTATGACAACGATGTGTGCTATTGATATCTCTCTATTTAAACAGAAAAACGTCCGGAACAGAAGGACGACCGACGTCACCAAGTTCTCAGGACGGAGACACCAAGATAGGTCAGTTAAATTCACCGTTGTATACTAAGTCTATTGGGTGGGGACACGAAATCGAAGTATTTCACTAGTTGAAAGAGAAATTTTAATCACGTTTTTATTCAAAGAACAAGATATCTGATATAGGGCATGGGAGATTGTTAGAAATAAGCTGGTAGAATACAATAAATTACATGTCATTTAAGAATGTTAAGAAATAAACACACTGATGTAATTTTCTGTAGATATCCCTGTGCCTAGAACTTATATACTTTTTACAGATATGACTTTGAGAGATACTAAGTATTTTACTCTGAAATTATCTTGCTAATATTCTACAGAAACTGATCATACGCAACAATAGCATATGTAATGTTAATTGTAGTACAATGTTTGTATGAAGCTGTGTAGAGTATCCTATTGTCCTTTGTGCTATATTGCAATTTCAGGCAATACCATGTATTGTGCTTTACCCCTGTTATCAGTTGGTATTATACAATGCATTCAGTAAAGGATTGGTCTGTTAATGTTTCTTATGTCATATTCTACAACGATATGTTTGAATTCTGTTGATGTTGGGAGAGAAAATGAGTAGGAGTTATTTCCCTTGCTATGTTATTTTTAGTTTTGGTACTAAATGCCTAGCCACCTTGCTTTACAGATGTTACAATTATGGGGCTAGAAAAAGCTCCTAGTCCTCCTCTCCGGGGGAATTGGTCACCAACAGTTACTGATATCAATCCTAAGTCCCAACCGGAGAGTAAGTTGGTCCATTACAAGATCAAAAAGCCACGCAACCTTGCACTAGATATGGGCATTGCCACTGGTAGCTATCCCTTCACTTTTCTTCCCTGGTTTGGAGTGATTTTCTTGGGGTGATTTCTGTGATTGTATTTAATTGTTTATAATTACATGAAATGTGAAAGCTAATATTTAATGATATTTTTGGACATTATAAGTTGTCAATATTGCTCCCTTACTAAAATGCATTTATTTTTATGCATTTTTTCTATTTATTATCCCGATTTTTCTCTTCCTCAAAATTTTAAGAGCCCAGAACAAATGAAGTATATAGACTTTTACAAATTGCTCTGAAGTTATATGATGATCTGTAACTTGCCATGAAGGAATACTATATAGTCTGCTAAGTCACATTTACTTGAAGCAGAGCGTCTCAAACTTAATTTATTTGAGGAACTATTACTGCTGTTTGTGATCTTATCCTGCTTTGGTGTGTTAATTGTTGTTTGCGGTGTATGTCTGCTGACTCACTGACTAGCACGCTGTTTTGCTGATAATGAAGATGTTTTTATATTTGTGGGATTCTGCCTGTTTGAAGACTTGATCATAGCCCTGTAAGGGAGATAACCCACTGTGATCATAGCCCTGTAAGGGAGATAACCCACTGTGTGACACATATTGGTCTGTGTCTCACAAGCTTTATCATTATGGATGCCAATAAAATACTGATACATAGATGACAGTAACTTTAATCTACACCAATGCAGTCTTTCCAGAGAGAGTAATTCTGCTTACATTCCCAGGTATACTTTACAATTCTGTCTACATGTAAATAACACTACAAATTTAATGCCCCCTCGATCTTTTCAAACTAAGAGAAAGTAATTGAATGCATTGGTTAATGGAAAGCTTATTTTGAATTTTTTGGACATTCTGTTATCTAAATCTGAAAAGGTGTGAACAAATGCTTTTCATTATGATCCTCATCTCTAAAGAGGAGGCATTAAATTGATGCTGACCATAACACATATGTCACTATTAAATACAGTAGGCTGTGATCAAGTTTACAAGAATTTTCATTGGCAATACTTGATGCTTTGTGTGACAGCTTAACTAAACAGATAACAGAGTAACTGTTACAGTCCGGGTACTCCACTCACAATTAAGTATACCATAGAAAAAAGGAAATTAATCAGAATTTAAATAAAGAAAAATTCAATAAAGATTCTGGCTTCACCTTCTACAGATGATGACTACATCTATAACACAGGGATACCAGAGATTTGTGTAACTTACTTAGAATCAGGGGGAGATAACTCTGAGGAAGGTATTACACTGTATATAATTTGAACAGGGTGTAGTCCAGTATATCAGCACTTAGTATAGAGTAGATATGTATTCATATTTGGGAATGGAGACTCGTATTGACTGTATAACTATGTCATATTGATGTTTTTTTCTGTTTCTGGTGAATGTTTATAAATATTTTATTATTAGATTAATTTATTTGTTTTAACATAATGGTATTGTCCTTATGGTTTTGTAATGTAGAATATAGTCATGGAACCTCTCAATAAATATTTTCATTCTTGCTTATTCATTAATATACACATCTTCATTTAATTGTTACATAATTAATGTTGTTATTTAGAGAATAAACTAAATAAATACAGATATAAACAAATTTGATTTAATGAAATCTGTGTCCATATTGTGTGAGGGCTAAAAAGGTAATTTTTATTAATTATGGCAATTTCCATCATTTTGATTTTTTTCAAATATATATAAATAATGGTAAAAAATCTACAGCATGGATTGTATGCATAGAATTACAGCTATTTTTGTTTTACTGAGGTGACTGACCTCCAGTCTTAGTATAAACTAAAGCTATTTATTATAACATGGCACTACTTTACTATACCTGTAGCAGAATTTAGATTTGCAGTAGATGTAGTTGTATATATATTTGGTTTAGTAATATCAGTTATATTTTATTCATACAGTTGTAACCAGATTTATATGTACAGTAGATACAGTTCCTTTCATTCTGAACTATACTTATTACTTTATCAGTAGTGAGTTTTGTACAAACAGGGATTGGGTGTTTGTCATAAATTATTTGAAAAATACATATAAACAGTAATTTGATGATTACGACGATGGTATTATATATATTTTTGAAGAATGCTTAAAATAGGAGCTATATATTGAACTTATTAACAGTTACGTGGGTGACAGATCTCATAAGTATTACCTGGTGTTAATCAGTACTTCTTTTATTGATATTATTATCTATGTCGAATGATAATTATTAGCTGCTAATGTATACATCAGTTACTGAATGTGTTGCTTCTCTACATGAAAATACATGCTTTATTACACAATCAATAATGTCACAACTTAAAAAAAAACTATTTTTGAAGGGGATATGATCATTATCTTACTGGCTCAGACCAAGTCTACTAACTGACCTAGTCCAAGGGGAGATACTCATTATATTATTGGCTGGTCCAAGTTTAGGTAATCATTATATTTACTGACCTAGTCCAAGGGGATACTCATTATATTATTGGCTGGTCCAAGTTTAGGTAATCATTATACTAACTGACCTAGTCCAAGGGGAGATAATTATTATATTATTGGCTGGTCCAAGTTTAGGTATTCATTATACTTACTGACCTAGTCTAAGGGGAGATAATCATTATATTATTGGCTGGTCCAAGTTTAGGAAATAATTACACTAACTGACCTAGTCCAAGGGGAGATAATCATTATATTATTGGCTGGTCCAAGTTTAGGTAATCATTATATTAACTGACCTACTCCAAGGGGAGATAATCATTATATTATTGGCTGGTCCAAGTTTAGGTAATAATTACAGGAACTGACCTAGTCCAAGGGGGAGATAATCATTATATTATTGGCTGGTACAAGTTTAGGTAATCATTATACTAACTGACCTAGTCCAAAGGGAGATAATCATTATATTATTGGCAGGTCCAAGTTTAGGTAATCATTATATTTACTTACCTAGTCCAAGGGGATATAATCATTATATTATTGGCTGGTCCAAGTTTAGGTAAACATTATATTTACTGACCTAGTCTAAGGGGAGATAATCATTATATTAGTGGCAGGTCCAAGTTTAGGTAATCGTTATGCTAACTAACCTAGTGCAAGGGGAGATAATCATTATATTATTGGTTGGCCCAAGTTTAGGTCATCATTATGCTAACTGACCAAGTGCAAGGGGAGATAATCGTTATATGTACCAGCTTGGCGGAGGAACTCACTGCTTGCTTGTGAAATGGCTAATTATTTTTTTAATTAAATGTTGCTTTTATGGTGACAGTCTTATCAGCATTGTAACAGGCATGCTACTGATCTAACATTTGTTGTTCCCAGTGTGAAAATTATCTGCTGAACAAAATATTGATTTTTGTGTAGCCAGAATTCAACATACAACCTGTAATAATTTCAGGATATGATTCAATTATGGCACTTCCTTAATAAACTGCTGTTTTCTCTCTCTTTTAAAGGAACTTTCTTTATCTTAATTCCAATTTTAAATAAATACATGTAGTAATAAATACATGTAGCAATAAATACATGTAATAAATAATGTTTTTAATTACTTTTATTTGATGTACTAGTTCTGACTGGAAACATGATTAGTTCTAACTTCGATACTTATTTACCTGTACAGGTGAGGATTTGACCAGTCTCCTTGACAACCCTGTGTCAGCCACAGACACGGTATGTATCTCTATACACATACAGTTAACGTTAACATGTTGGAACGATGAACAAGTTTTGATTTAAAAAATCTTAGTTTAAATAACCCTGTAAACACTACCTGTAAACACTGCCTGTAAACACTACCTGTAAACACTGCCTATAAACACTACCTGTAAACACTACATGTAATCACTACCTGTAAACACTGCCTGTAAACACTACTTGTAAACACTACCTGTAAACACTGCCTGTAAACACGCTACATGTAAACACTACCTGAAAACACTGCCTGTAAACACTACCTGTAAACACTTCATGTAAACACTACCTGTAAACACTGCCTGTAAACACAACCTGTAAACAGTACATGTAAACACTGCCTGTAAACACTACCTGTAAACACTGCCTGTAAACACTACATGTAAACACTACATGTAAACCTACCTGTAAACACTGCCTGTAAACACTACCTATAAACACTACATGTAAACACAGCCTGTAAATAATACCTGTAAACACAGCCTGTAAACAATACCTGTAAAAACTGCCTGTAAACACTACCTGTAAATACTGCCTGTAAACACAACCTGTAAACAATACCTGTAAACACTGCCTGTAAACACAGCCTGTAAACACTACCTGTAAACCCTGCCTGTAAACACCACCTGTAAACACTACATGTAAACCTACATGTAGACACTGCCTTTAAACACTACCTATAAACACTACATGTAAACACTACCTGTAAACACTGCCTGTAAACACAACCTGTAAACACTACCTGTAAACACTGCCTATAAACACTACCTGTAAACACTACCTGTAAACACTGCCTGTAAACACTACCTGTAAACACTACATGTAAACCTACATGTAGACACTGCCTGTAAACACTACCTATAAACACTACATGTAAACAATACCTGTAAACACAGCCTGTAAACAATACCTGTAAACACTACCTGTAAACACTACATGTAAACACTACCTGTAAACACTGCCTGGAAACACTACTTGTAAACACAGCCTGTAAACAATACCTGTAAACAATACCTGTAAACACTGCCTGTAAACACTACCTGTATACACTGCCTGTAAACACTACCTGTAAACACTACATGTAAACAATACCTGTAAACACTGCCTGTAAACACTACCTGTTAACACAGCCTGTAAACAATACCTGTAAACACAGCATGTAAACAATACCTGTAAACACTGCCTGTAAACACTGCCTGTAAACACTACCTGTAAACACTGCCTGTAAACACTACCTGTAAACACTGCATGTAAACACTACCTGTAAACACTACCTATAAACACTACATGTAAACACAGCCTGTAAACAATACCTGTAAACACAGCATGTAAACAATACCTGTAAACACTGCCTGTAAACACTGCCTGTAAACACTACCTGTAAACACTACCTGTAAACACTATGATTTGATCCAGTAGAAAGAGAGTTTGACAGTATTGATTACCTGTATTAAATACCTGTATTGATTATCATCAGGTATTGATTACCTGTATTAAATACCTGTATTGATTATCTACAGGTATTGATTACCTGTATTGATTGCCAGGGGCCAGTTTCACATTACTTTGGCCCAGTTTCATTTATCTTAGGCCAATTTATTGTCACTTGCTAGGCCTACTTTTAAATTATCAAATGCCATTTTTTTATCACCTGTTCAGAACCTTATGGCTACTCTCTGATTGTCAGTAGCATAACTATAACTATATGGATTTAATACAGAAATGATGAAACATTCTCATTGTGTTTTGATAACATTTTGAAATCCCATCCTGACAGGCTTCGGACTAATCAGCAGCACATAGTTTCTCTGTGTGTGATTAACCTTTCTGATTTGGGGGGCAAAATAGACCTGCTATATTAACAACATGTTATAGGTAGGGAGTGGCACTGTGGGTAGCACATTTGCCTTTTACAAAGATGGTCAGGGTTCCATACCTGGAAAGGTATTTGGTTACTTGCCTGACCACTTGGGTTTTCTCAGGGTTCTCCAGATTCTGCCCACATTTACATCCTTGCATTTACTAAACTTCTCCATCCGAGTCATTAAGACTCATCAGTACAATTTGATAAGACTGGTTTTCTTTTGTGTTTCTTGCATAGGAGACAGAAAGGAACACAAATTGATTTGCTGCCCCATTGCAACAACTAGGACCTTTTTTCATCCTATTTGTCCTATCTACCCTTTTTATTAGCAGCAACTCCCTTGGACCCTCAATCTGACCCTAGCTGTTGTGAGGAGATTAAACCCCATGAAAAACAATCAAAAGGGATCTACCCGGTGGTACACATACTTGCAAATCCAAGTGTTCTCATCTTTACCTTGCCTTATTATGAAAAGTTGAGTCAATATATATACATCAACCATTTAGCTTTTCCATTGAAAAAGTGCCCCGAAATATGTGTTAACCCACCTTTTATAGTTAACACTCCATTTAATTAAATAGTAAAACCATATTTTTTCTAAAATTCCTTAATGTACTGCAAATGTATTTCAAGTGGTCGTTTGTATATCCCTACAGCGATACAGTAATGTTGGTATTAAAACTTCTGCCATCTGCCCGACTTTCTGGATCCACCCACCATTCTACTTTCTGAAATTATCCATGATCAGTTAGTCTTGATCATTTTCACTCCTGATGGCTATACTGGTAAATAGAGAAAATATTATAAAGGAATTGTATACTGCCATAAAACTCTGAATATCATGTGTACAATGACATAGAGTGTAAGGTCCTTACTTCAAGTTCTATTCTGATTTCCTAACCAATGTATTGAGTTTGTTATAATGGGTAGTTATACAATACCTGTTATCAGTATTTACAGACCAATTTCTCTGTTTGGATAAGAACATTTGAGAAATGGAATATTTAAATGTGGGGGTAAACTTTCCACTTGGTTATAAACAGTCAACAGACTTATTATCACAACACAATAGCTGAAACATTAGAGGGTAAACACATCATTGTTATTGTGGCCTTGGAACCACAAGAACTGGCTTGCCACATTTAAATTGTCACCAACTGGTACTTTTATATGAAATTTATTATAACAACAAACAAATGCTCATAAAATAACTGGTCATCAAGCTGTTACATATACAGAGGTGTAACTTGTCCTCATATCACATGTAAAACTTATCACTGTCCTTTATACACAGGTGTAACTTGTCCTCATGTCACATGTAAACCTTATCACTGTCCTTTATATTCAGGTATAACTTGTTCTCATCATACACAGGTGTGTCATGTAAGTCATTTATACACAGGTGTAACTTGTCATCATACACAGGTATGACATGTCACAGTCATCTATACACAGGTGTAACTTGTCATCATACACAGGTATGACATGTCACAGTCATCTATACACAGGTGTAACTTGTCATCATACACAGGTATGACATGTCACAGTCATCTATACACAGGTGTAACTTGTCATCATACACAGGTATGACATGTCACAGTCATCTATACACAGGTGTAACTTGTCATCATACACAGGTATGACATGTCACAGTCATCTATACACAGGTGTAACTTGTCATCATACACAGGTATGACATGTCACAGTCATCTATACACAGGTGTAACTTGTCATCATACACAGGTATGACATGTCACAGTCATCTATACACAGGTGTAACTTGTCATCATACACAGGTATGACATGTCACAGTCATCTATACACAGGTGTAACTTGTCATCATACACAGGTATGACATGTCACAGTCATCTATACACAGGTGTAACTTGTCATCATACACAGGTATGACATGTCACAGTCATCTATACACAGGTGTAACTTGTCATCATACACAGGTATGACATGTCACAGTCATCTATACACAGGTGTAACTTGTCATCATACACAGGTATGACATGTCACAGTCATCTATACACAGGTGTAACTTGTCATCATACACAGGTATGACATGTCACAGTCATCTATACACAGGTGTAACTTGTCATCATACACAGGTATGACATGTCACAGTCATCTATACACAGGTGTAACTTGTCATCATACACAGGTATGACATGTCACAGTCATCTATACACAGGTGTAACTTGTCATCATACACAGGTATGACATGTCACAGTCATCTATACACAGGTGTAACTTGTCATCATACACAGGTATGACATGTCACAGTCATCTATACACAGGTGTAACTTGTCATCATACACAGGTATGACATGTCACAGTCATCTATACACAGGTGTAACTTGTCATCATACACAGGTATGACATGTCACAGTCATCTATACACAGGTGTAACTTGTCATCATACACAGGTATGACATGTCACAGTCATCTATACACAGGTGTAACTTGTCATCATACACAGGTATGACATGTCACAGTCATCTATACACAGGTGTAACTTGTCATCATACACAGGTATGACATGTCACAGTCATCTATACACAGGTGTAACTTGTCATCATACACAGGTATGACATGTCACAGTCATCTATACACAGGTGTAACTTGTCATCATACACAGGTATGACATGTCACAGTCATCTATACACAGGTGTAACTTGTCATCATACACAGGTATGACATGTCACAGTCATCTATACACAGGTGTAACTTGTCATCATACACAGGTATGACATGTCACAGTCATCTATACACAGGTGTAACTTGTCATCATACACAGGTATGACATGTCACAGTCATCTATACACAGGTGTAACTTGTCATCATACACAGGTATGACATGTCACAGTCATCTATACACAGGTGTAACTTGTCATCATACACAGGTATGACATGTCACAGTCATCTATACACAGGTGTAACTTGTCATCATACACAGGTATGACATGTCACAGTCATCTATACACAGGTGTAACTTGTCATCATACACAGGTATGACATGTCACAGTCATCTATACACAGGTGTAACTTGTCATCATACACAGGTATGACATGTCACAGTCATCTATACACAGGTGTAACTTGTCATCATACACAGGTATGACATGTCACAGTCATCTATACACAGGTGTAACTTGTCATCATACACAGGTATGACATGTCACAGTCATCTATACACAGGTGTAACTTGTCATCATACACAGGTATGACATGTCACAGTCATCTATACACAGGTGTAACTTGTCATCATACACAGGTATGACATGTCACAGTCATCTATACACAGGTGTAACTTGTCATCATACACAGGTATGACATGTCACAGTCATCTATACACAGGTGTAACTTGTCATCATACACAGGTATGACATGTCACAGTCATCTATACACAGGTGTAACTTGTCATCATACACAGGTATGACATGTCACAGTCATCTATACACAGGTGTAACTTGTCATCATACACAGGTATGACATGTCACAGTCATCTATACACAGGTGTAACTTGTCATCATACACAGGTATGACATGTCACAGTCATCTATACACAGGTGTAACTTGTCATCATACACAGGTATGACATGTCACAGTCATCTATACACAGGTGTAACTTGTCATCATACACAGGTATGACATGTCACAGTCATCTATACACAGGTGTAACTTGTCATCATACACAGGTATGACATGTCACAGTCATCTATACACAGGTGTAACTTGTCATCATACACAGGTATGACATGTCACAGTCATCTATACACAGGTGTAACTTGTCATCATACACAGGTATGACATGTCACAGTCATCTATACACAGGTGTAACTTGTCATCATACACAGGTATGACATGTCACAGTCATCTATACACAGGTGTAACTTGTCATCATACACAGGTATGACATGTCACAGTCATCTATACACAGGTGTAACTTGTCATCATACACAGGTATGACATGTCACAGTCATCTATACACAGGTGTAACTTGTCATCATACACAGGTATGACATGTCACAGTCATCTATACACAGGTGTAACTTGTCATCATACACAGGTATGACATGTCACAGTCATCTATACACAGGTGTAACTTGTCATCATACACAGGTATGACATGTCACAGTCATCTATACACAGGTGTAACTTGTCATCATACACAGGTATGACATGTCACAGTCATCTATACACAGGTGTAACTTGTCATCATACACAGGTATGACATGTCACAGTCATCTATACACAGGTGTAACTTGTCATCATACACAGGTATGACATGTCACAGTCATCTATACACAGGTGTAACTTGTCATCATACACAGGTATGACATGTCACAGTCATCTATACACAGGTGTAACTTGTCATCATACACAGGTATGACATGTCACAGTCATCTATACACAGGTGTAACTTGTCATCATACACAGGTATGACATGTCACAGTCATCTATACACAGGTGTAACTTGTCATCATACACAGGTATGACATGTCACAGTCATCTATACACAGGTGTAACTTGTCATCATACACAGGTATGACATGTCACAGTCATCTATACACAGGTGTAACTTGTCATCATACACAGGTATGACATGTCACAGTCATCTATACACAGGTGTAACTTGTCATCATACACAGGTATGACATGTCACAGTCATCTATACACAGGTGTAACTTGTCATCATACACAGGTATGACATGTCACAGTCATCTATACACAGGTGTAACTTGTCATCATACACAGGTATGACATGTCACAGTCATCTATACACAGGTGTAACTTGTCATCATACACAGGTATGACATGTCACAGTCATCTATACACAGGTGTAACTTGTCATCATACACAGGTATGACATGTCACAGTCATCTATACACAGGTGTAACTTGTCATCATACACAGGTATGACATGTCACAGTCATCTATACACAGGTGTAACTTGTCATCATACACAGGTGTAACTTGTCATCACACACAGGTATGACATGTCACAGTCATCTATACACAGGCGAACTTGTCATCATACACAGGTGTGAATAGTCACTGTCCTTTATACACAGGTGAAACTTGTCATCATACACAGGTGTGATAGTCACTGTCCTTTATACACAGGTGTAACTTGTCATCATACACAGGTGTGAATAGTCATTGTCCTTTATACTCCGGTAGAACTAGTCACTGACATTTTTACACAGGTGGTACTTGCCACTCTCCTATCTACAGAACTGATGTTATTTGTCCTCTTTACACAGGTAGAATTTGTTACCCTGCACAGGTATCTGTACAGGGTTTCAATTTTGGGTATAATTGTTCTATCAATACTGATTTATCATTGATATAATTGATATCAATGTTATATTGATATAATTGGTATAATTGGTGCAATCATTAAATCTGTGTTATGGGTAGAATGTGTGTATGCCTGTATTATCTACCCTACTGTTGACATACCGTCCAATGTAGGGAGAAATATTCAGGCATGAAATTAATAATAAGGTGACAATGGTCGCCCGTAAAAGACCTAGTGATTATTGTCCGACTAGGAGTCCCACTACCTAATGTAAGCAATTCAGTCTAATTCAGAACAGTGAAATATTAACAAGAACCATTGATTTTCCACGTTTATCCACAAGCATTAGGCTTTTAATTTCCAACACATATTTTGTATAGTGCCTGTATAGGCCTGTGGGACAAACAAATGATAATCATTCTTGATCAAACATTTTACCGGTACCAGCAGCCTGACATATTGATAATTTGTGTGTGGCCATTGTCAGACCTATTTGCTTTGTGTTACCACCAAGTAAAAGGTGGCCTATGTCAAATACCATTTCCATCTTACCACACTTATTTTAGTAAACAAGATTTAAGCGACCACAAAACATTTCAAGAGCGTTTCTCTCGGAATTGTGTTGTACATTTGGTCGCCAACAATAACAGATTTGGCCGTTGTTTGGGTGAGTGTTAAAAAATGCTTAGTGTAGATTGTCTGGGATAGTGAATTCTACGTGAGATATGATGTAACAATGATTTAATATTTTATATATATGATATCTCAATATTACTGTATCGTAGTAAGTGCTCTACATTTATTGGTGAAAATAAGATCACTTTTGGAAATATTGATGATTGGAAATTCAGATATATCATGATACTTTAGACATAGATAAGTTGTAGTTTTGGATAATCAATATGCTGATGATGTCAGAAAACTGGAAACAATTGTAATGTTCTTTCAATATTTAACCAAATTTTTCAAGGTTTAAATATACTACTAGTGATTTGGAATGATTATTAATTATAGAAAGACAATAAAATTCTCTTAAGTTCTAATGAGCTTTAAAAAAAGTACATATAGGAAGACAGAGTTTAGATTACCATCAGCATTTTGAATGACATCTTTTCCCAACTTGATTGTGTGGTTGCTGGATTTTAACATTGACATAAAGCTTAATGATATGGTTTTGGATATACAACATGTCCTGACCACAGGTTGGTGTATGCTTTATTTTATATCTGTCATCTTATCTTACGATACTATCTCTGTATTTTGTGTGTTAGTGTCAGTATATACCCTTGGCATGATGTTCTCCTTGCCCGTCTCCCGATGGGTCATTCACACAACACTTGTTATTAGAATGCGTTTGACCTTCAGCCAACAAGAGAATAATTTTATAACAATATAACAGATCTCAAATCCCTTTTTGAAACAGTAACTATCTGAACAATTCTTACCTACGTAGAAACTGTTCCGTAGCCAGTGGCGGATCCAGAGACCTATCTGGGGGGGGGGTTTCCAAATTTCCTGGGGGGGTTTCCATGTGGGGGAAAATTGAGGAAAATGGTGAAAATACATGATTTTTAAAGAAAATTCTCAGGGTGGGTGGGTTTCCTGAAGCCCAAAAAACCCCTCTGGATCCGCCACTGGTAGCCACTTACTTTGTCTGTTACCTTTTCATTTGTTCGATGTAATTTTCCTTAACATGTTTTATCTTCTATCTATCGGCCCTAATGACCTCTTTTGTGTTGATTGGCCGTTAAAAATCCTATAATAAAAATTACTTTGGTCCAGTGTTGGTTTATACTATACAGTGGCATCTTTTTAGTTCAGAAATTTCAAAGCAATGCTGTTTTATTTATGGTGATAAGTTTAATATACAGTAAAGACACTTTTGTATGGCTGTATAAGTATACAGGCTACCATCTGATTTCTATGAGGTGTTACAATATCAGACACAATTTATCTAATCCAATATGTTCCTTTGTCTGTGTGCTTAATGAAAGAGGATATTCTTAAAGATTATGACTTTGTACATATCAGAATTAGTACCTTATATATTATTACATAACATTTCTGAAAATATGTTTTCAGTACCATAAAGGATTTTTCTTTATTTTGTAGAAGAAATCAGACACGCCCACTCTCTTCCTGCACAATGACACAGAACTAGATGGGACTGGAGGACCCCCAGCACAGCCTCCCCCCACCCCAGAGATCCTGACCCCTAAAGAACCTGTTGAGGAAAAGCCTGCCACAAAGAGGCCCAGAACCTGCACCAAGAAAACAAAAGTTCCAATCACAAAGACTCGCAAACCTAAGGAGGAGATGGAGAAGAAAGAAGATGAAACTGCTAAAGTGGAAACCCCTCTTCCCGCTCCTCCTCCGGAAGAAAGGTAGGGATATTATCATATACTCTCCATCTCTTTTCTCCCCCTCCCCCTCCCCCTCTCCCAAAAAAGGAGATATATAACACCATAAAATGCCATGGGAGGTACTCCTTCCCCAAACCATCAATCCCCCAACCTCGTCAGTGAAAAATTATCATACACTTCTCTACAATACAACGTTTCCTCTGAATCTTTCTGATTTCAGAGCATGAATGATGGACTTGTGGCCAATTTAAAAATTGTAGACGTTATGGCCATTTCTCTGAGTTACCTGTCAGCCTGTCAATACCTAGTATTTCTATACCATTTATTTATCTCAAGAAACAAACATTTTCTGCTCTCAGGGGCTATATTCAGATATTCGCAGCAGCCATATTGAATAAAACGAAAATAAGGATTTTTCAAGATGTCTATATCTAAAAATTATCAGGGGTGCCCAAAAGACCTCATATGTGTTCACAAGTTCATGTTGTTATCAGTTTTTTTGATAATAAATAAATAATTGGAGGTTCTTATATACCGCTTTATCATAGGCCAGCTCGTAGGCTGTCTCAAAGCGGTTCACAAATTATTATCTGTGGTTATTTGGTCTTTGCAACAGCCAATATCTTTCTCAACTCCCTGGGGAGCATACAGCCGGAGCTGCCATTAAGGTGCTCACAGCTAGCATTCAACAATTCTAGCACTGCCTAACCATGTACTCATTTACAGCTGAGTAGACTGGAACAAGCGGAGTAAAGTATCTTGTTCAAAGATAGAACATAGTGCCGTGCCCGGTGTCCTACCACTCGACTACCCTGCCTCTGTATTATAGTTGGATGCCTTGTTCTACATGTACCTTTTAAATATGCCATCAAGTGGGTGGACATTACCATTCATATAGAGATTTCTAGTGTAGAGCTCTTTTGGATGGAAGGTGTGTTAAGTAGCATATACCCTTAGCTGTTGTAAACTTGGGTCTATATTTTATTGGCTGCATGTCAGAGTTGATATCATCAATGGTTACTATGTACAGAGAGCTTCAAAACACAAGGAAGTCAATAATTAAAAACCACCTGTAATTAAAACGGTAGATTTCAAATAAACACTGGCTATTTTGCTGGCTGGTGACTGCTGGTGCTGACATTTAAGGGGATATATTAGGAGTACAGGATAAATATTTTATTCCATCGTTGCAACTGGTGTTCTGTTCCTGTCTGGGTGTAGCTGTTTCTTGTCTGGTGACGGTGACGGTGCCTGGACTTATAAACCAATTCAAGTGTGACTTTTTTTGTAAAAATCCAAGAATTTGGTTAAAAGATCAATGATAGGTAAGTAGAATTATCAACAATATTTAAATGTCCATCAGATGGAAGAGTCAAAAGTTGGTTTGTAGACTGATGCTATTTCAAACGTTGGTGGGGTAATTTTCAGCATTGACAGTTTTCTTACATAAAATGTATGGGGCATCAACAGTTCCAAATTTTGTATTACAGAGCAACAATGCTTTAAAATGTGTGATTTGTGGGGCATCAATTGTTCAAATATTGAATTTTTGGGGCATCAGTGCATTGTTTTAAATGTAAGATGAGTTTGGCATCACAAATGTTTGATTTTTGGGGCATCAATTGTTTCAAATTTTGGATTTGTGGGGCATCAATGGATTCAAATGTTGGATTTGTGAGGCATCAATGGATTCAAATGTTGGATTTGTTGGGCATCAATGGATTCAAATGTTGGATTTGTGGGGCATCAATGGATTCAAATGTTGGATTTGTGAGGTATCAATGGATTCAAATTTTGGATTTGTAGGGCATCAATGGATTCAAATGTTGGATTTGTGGGGCATCAATGGATTCAAATGTTGGATTTGTTGGGCATCAATGGATTCAAATGTTGGATTTTTGGGGCATCAATGGATTCAAATGTTGGATTTGTGGGGCATCAGTGCATTGTTTTAAATGTTGATTTTTTTTTATATCTTTCATACTTTGAAATGTTAAATTGTTGAACATTCAGGAATTACGTAATATTGGTTCTTACCTTCACATTGTCTCAATCACTATACATAATTTGTCAGAGAGGAATGCTGTTTCTATAACGGATTCATCGGCTGGGTCAGAAGCTGGCTAGATAGGATACTCAAGGTGTGATTGGTTGGTTAGTCTATAGAGGCACTCCATTGATCAGGTTGGTCTGTGGTCTGCATGATAGAATCAATTGTTTCTCTAGTTTGTTTCATGAAACGTTCATACATCCAATTGGTTGGGTACTTCATTTGGTAGGTTTGTGTGGTAAGTTGATAGGTTAGTGTGGTTAGTTGGTAGGTTAGTGTGGTTAGTTGGTAGGTTTGTGTGGTTAGTTGGTAGGTTAATGAAGTAAGCTGGTAGGTTAGTATGGTTAGTTGGTAGGTTAGTGTGGGTAGTTGGTAGGTTAGTGCGGTAAGGGGTAGGTTTGTGTGGTAAGTTGATAGGTTAGTGTGGTTAGTTGGTAGGTTAGTGAAGTAAGCTGGTAGGTTATTATGGTTAGTTGGTAGGTTAGTGTGGTTAGTTGGTAGGTTAGTGTGGTTAGTTGGTAGGTTACTGTGGTAAGGGGTAGGTTTGTGTGGTAAGTTGATAGGGAAGTGTGGTTAGTTGGTAGGTTAATGAAGTAAGCTGGTAGGTTTGTATGGTTAGTTGGTAGGTTAGTGTGGTTAGTTGGTAGGTTAGTGCGGTAAGGGGTAGGTTTGTGTGGTAAGTTGATAGGTAAGTGTGGTTAGTTGGTAGGTTAATGAAGTAAGCTGGTAGGTTTGTATGGTTAGTTGGTAGGTTAGTGTGGTTAGTTGGTAGGTTAGTATGGTTAGTTGGTAGGTTAGTGTGGTTAGTTGGTAGGTTGGTGTGGTAAGGGGTAGGTTTGTGTGGTAAGTTGATAGGTTAGTGTGGTTAGTTGGTAGGTTAGTGTGGTAAGGGGTAGGTTTGTGTGGTAAGTTGATAGATTAGTGTGGTTAGTTGGTAGGTTAATGAAGTAAGCTGGTAGGTTAGTATGGTTAGTTGGTAGGTTAGTGAAGTAAGCTGGTAGGTTAGTGTTGCTAGTTGGTAGGTTAGTGTGGTAAGGGGTAGGTGTGTGTGGTTAGTTGTGTGGATAGTTGGTAGGTTATTGTGGTTAGTTGGTAGGTTTGTGTGGATAGTTGGTAGGTTAGTGTGGTTAGTTGGTACGTTAGTGTGGTAAGGGGTAGGTGTGTGTAGTTAGTTGTGTGGATAGTTGGTAGGTTTGTGTTGCTAGTTGGTAGGTTAGTGTGGTTAGTTGTGTGGATAGTTGGTAGGTTTGTGTTGCTAGTTAGTAGGTTTTGTGGTTAGTTGGTAGGTTTGTGTTGCTAGTTGGTAAGTGTGCAAGGCTTGAGATTGTGAGGTAAGGTTGGTATAGATTTGCTTGGTTAGTTTGTGATGCTGAAAACCAAACTTGTTGGTTGGCTTACAAAATACAACAGACACTACAATTGTTTGATACTATGTTTTCTGTTATGTGATGTTAAATGTCTTCAAAGTAATACAGGATCAAATTCATGTAAGCGATATATTTAACAACAGTGAGACTGTACTGTGATAAGGGTTAGTATCAGTGACTGTATATACGTAGTGTTGTGGTGCCTTCGGCAGTGTTCTTGCTTTGTCCTAGTGGCCCTAGTTACCGTAATGAAACAGAGTTGCGATTCAATATTTATAACCAGGAATACTGTTTTGTACTTCATTAAATCCCCTGATACTCATAACTGTCTCCACTAAACCTGTTATTACATTGTTTACTCAGATAGGTAACATACTGATCTTGGAACATAGCACTGAGGCAAGAATAAACAATAGGCTGTGCCTCGCGAGTCAAAATTCCTCTCTGTTGTGGAAACAGAGATGGAAACTGGGATGATTAAAGCTATTGATTTACCATACAACTATTTTGGTGTTTTATATTCAGATTCTGTCAATGAAAATATTACAGTATTCAGGGACGATGACAGAGATCTATGCAGTCAAATACTTCTATATACGTATGAAAATGTGGAGGATTTATGAAAGTAATACTTTTAGAAAAAATATACAGGTTGAAAAGATGAAATGAAGTTTCTATAATTCAGGGTTTAGAATTAAATTTCATACATCTCTCTGTGACTGTGTGTATCTATCTGTTACTTATATGTAGCATAGAAAGGTCTACCTGTTGATTGGTGTGGCACCTGTATGTGACCTGTTACACCTAGACAACATTAAGGCAATAACCAGTGTTAAAAAAACTTCAATATTTGTACTTTCTTTAGATCAACCAATAAACACATACCATTTGAACACATTTGTTAAGATTGACAAATAAACAAGAATACATTGGCCCTAGACTTACCAATAAATACCTTGGCTTTTGTCAGTGATTTCAATAGGTTTTCAGGTCAACCATGATTGCATTTGAAATTTTTAATCTCTGGGCTGACACTACTAAGTTTTCAGTGAGGACAGAGACTAGGATCAATCAACTCTTTTTAACATTTAACTCTGTAGGTGGTGATATTACAAATATATCTTCTCCTTGCTTATCAAAACCTTCTCGTTTTATACCTGTGGGGCAGGTAGCCTTTCCACCATTCCAATAGGGAATCTTTTATACAAAATCTATATATAACAGCAAGGTCTCATTTCATGACTCTTTAAAGTTTTTCAAAAAGCTTTCATTGAAGAACTTTGGCTGAGATCCAATTTCCAACCTTCCTTTTTATTTCGTTTCTATAAAAACACCACTTGAAAGGAACATCATTTTGTCTGGTATAATTTTTTATTTTTATTTTAGGTGAATAAGATAATCACCTGAATTGCAATTAAAACAAAACGGTAATTTTGTTCGTTAGGTGTTTGCTAGAGATAAGAGGGTATTGTGACATTAGACTTGTGTATGAAGTGAAGGGTATATGCAATATGTATGTACACACAGGTAGATTCTATTGACAAATGTTTGTACAGATCACAGGTGGTTTTGTGTGGCGGGTTATAATGAACTAAGTAACTAAG